CATTAAAATCTTGGTATAAAAGACAGATTAAAGCATCTGTTGCACTTCCTCGAGCGGCAAATAAGAACAATAGTATTAGCCATTACAAAAGTCCAAAATGCAGCAGCAGCAGTCGACGACCAAAGATCATCAAGAAAGTATGCTTATTATTACCTGTTCTCTTACACATTCATATTCCTCCTTCACTTGGTGTCACCCATATCGGTCCTCCCAGACTTAACTAAAATACTGGGTAGTTGGCAAATAGTAAAATAAACTTGTTTCTGAAGTGTCAATAACATCTTTACAGATTCTCAGTTTTTGAGATGTAGGGTTGGAGTCAACTGAAAGTGCTCTGCTATCCTTTCGTAATGACATCTTGAACTCCTTTGATCACAGTCAGTTCACAGTCAGATATTCTGGACGTCTTTAGCTTTTTGGTACTGTCGACCATACCATCCTCCTGTCAAAGCTTGAACATTACGGCATTAGGGGCTTATCTCTGAGTGACTTACCTCATGTCTCTCTGGCAGGAAGCAGTATGCTATAACTATTAACAACCTGACTCTCACCTATTTTGTATGGCGTCCTCAAGGCTTCATTCTCGGCAGTAGTGTGCTTGTTTTCATAAACGATATAGTCCCTTCTAACTTTTACTCATCATCCACTTATTTGCAGACGATGATTATCTCTATGCCAGTCACTCATACCTCTTTCGCCAGTAAAACTATGAACACCATGAACACTCTTGCAGCAATAGAAAATTTCTATTATGACCTTGTTTGTAACATGCATGATACATTGTCATACACTACGAGGGCCACCGGCATCACTAAGCACAAACCCTGATCACTGCCCCGGGAAAGTTGTGCTGGCAATTTCTTGACACAACTAATCACAATAACAAACATTTTGGCTAAATTGTTTTATAATCATTTAATCGCGAATGATAATAATTATTTCAAGTTCCGGAAGAATAACTAGAGGTATAACTTAAAGACACCCAGAGACTACTAAAGCTGCCCCCATGCGCTCTTCTCAGTCCCAGACCTCCATAAAATATCACGGTGTGAAAGGTGTGGAACAACTTACCCCCCACCCATCCAAGCAAACTACACTCCCGTCCTTTAAACCGCCTCTTAAAAGATATCTATTGTCCAAGTATTAATATTTGTGTTAACGCTTACTTTATACTCTTACCTTTATTGCCACCAACTTTTATTCACACTAACATGTAGATAAAGTACCATTGCAATAACTTTACATCTGCCGTCAAGACCAGTCCTGACGGCGTCTGTTGTTCTTCCTCCCTTATCGAACTACTGTATATTATCTACTTTACTGTAAAATATGTCGTATATAATTATAGATAAATATATGGTTTTTATAACAGAACGTCTGTTTCATTTTGGCATGTCTCTGATATGGGAAAGGAGGCTTTCCCATTTCAGAATCTGATATTGACAATAAAACTTCAGGTAAAAGTGTTCATTCAAAACACACCAAAAACCATCGGAAAAACAGTTTTGCACCTAACCTAACCTGAACTAAAAAAAAAAAAAAAAATAATAATAATAATAATAATAATAATAATAATAATAATAATCTCAGAATATCGACCAATAAACCGATTTAGTGAGTTTGAATTCATTTGTAGCTGTACACACACACACACACACACACACCACACACTTAAAATAAAAGGGAAAAATTATCAAAGCTTTTACTTGCAAATTTCCGCTTAATTTGTGCTCGAGGTAGCGGAACAAATTCATACATATATGTTAACTTAACAAATCTGACAGCTCATCTAACACTCCGTACTGAGAGAGAGAAATGAATTGATTAAATTAGACAGACAGACAGACAGACAGACAGACAAGAAATAATGTAGTTCTTTTCCTAGATAATTCCACTATAATGTGTTACCTTTACAATGAGTCTATGTAATTAAGTAACCCCACCCCAGGTACATTTCTTTTTGGCTGATTGATTTTTTTTTCAAGTTAATTGTTAATGTTAAGTCTATTAAAATGTGAAAATGTGGAGTTATAAAAATTTGAAATAGATATATGCAGCTGATAGATGTAAACAAACTACATACAGTACACGTGTCAATAGGCTTAACCCTCGCTACACGTGTGGTTGTGGGAAATAGCATGAATTTTCCAAGACACTATACCACATCATACCTTCAATATATTTTCACTACCACACAATATATTCATTACCTTCACTACCACACAATATATTCATTACCTTCACTACCACACAATATATTCATTACCTTCTCTACCACACAATATATTCATTACCTTCACTACCACACAATATATTCATTACCTTCACTACCACACAATATATTCATTACCTTCACTACCGCACAATATATTCATTACCTTCACTACCACACAATATATTCATTACCTTCACTACCACACTATACTATCATTACCTTCACTACCACACTATATTCATTACCTTCACTACCACACAATATATTCATTACCTTCACTACCGCACAATATATTCATTACCTTCACTACCACACAATATATTCATTACCTTCACTACCACACAATATATTCATTACCTTCACTACCACACAATATATTCATTACCTTCACTACCACACAATATATTCATTACCTTCACTACCACACAATATATTCATTACCTTCACTACCGCACAATATATTCATTACCTTCACTACCACACTATACTTTAATTACCTTCACTACCACACAATATATTCATTACCTTCACTACCACACAATATATTCATTACCTTCACTAACACACAATATATTCATTAACCTTCACTACCACACAATATATTCGTTACCTTCACTACCACACAATATATTCATTACCTTCACTACCACACAATATATTCATTACCTTCACTACCACACAATATATTCATTACCTTCACTACCGCACAATATATTCATTACCTTCACTACCACACTATACTTTAATCACCTTCACTACCACACAATATATTCATTACCTTCACTACCACACAATATATTCATTACCTTCACTACCACACAATATATTCATTACCTTCACTACCACACAATATATTCATTACCTTCACTACCACACAATATATTCATTACCTTCACTACCACACAATATATTCATTACCTTCACTACCACACTATACTTTAATTACCTTCACTACCACACAATATATTCATTACCTTCACTACCACACAATATATTCATTACCTACACTACTGCACAATATATTCATTACCTTCACTACCACACAATATATTCATTACCTTCACTACCGCACAATATATTCATTACCTTCACGACCACACTATACTATCATTACCTTCACTACCACACTATACTCTCATTACCTTCACTACCACACTATACTATCATTACCTTCACTACCATACTATACTTTAATTATCTTCACTACCACACTATACTATCATTACCTTCACTACCACACTATACTCTCATTACCTTCACTACCACACTATACTATCATTACCTTCACTACCACACTATACTCTCATTACCTTCACTACCACACTATACTATCATTACCTTCACTAACACACTATACTATCATTACCTTCACTACCACACTATACTATCATTACCTTCACTACCACACTATACTCGCATTACCTTCACTACCACACTATACTATCATTACCTTCACTACCACACTATACTATCATTACCTTCACTACCACACTATACTATCATTACCTTCACTACCACACTATACTCTCATTACCTTCACTACCACACTATACTCTCATTACCTTCACTACCACACTATACTATCATTACCTTCACTACCACACTATACTCTCATTACCTTCACTACCACACTATACTATCATTACCCTCACTACCACACTATACTCTCATTACCTTCACTACTACACTATACTATCATTACCTTCACTACCACACTATACTATCATTACCTTCACTACCACACTATACTATCATTACCTTCACTACCACACTATACTCTCATTACCTTTACTACCACACTATACTCTCATTACCTTCACTACCACACTATACTCTCATTACCTTCACTACCACACTATACTATCATTACCTTCACTACCACACTATACTATCATTACCTTCACTACCACTATACTCTCATTACCTTCACTACCACTATACTCTCATTACCTTCACTACCACACTATACTATCATTACCTTCACTACCACACTATACTATCATTACCTTCACTACCACACTATACTCTCATTACCTTCACTACCACACTATACTATCATTACCTTCACTACCACACTATACTCTCATTACCTTCACACCCACACTATACTCTGATTACCTTCACTACTACACTATGCCTTCACTACTACACTATACCTTCACTACCACACTATACCTTCACTACCACACTATGCCTTCACTACCACACTCTACTTTCACTACAACACTATACCTTCACTACCACACTATACACACACACTATGCCTTCACTACACTCTACTTTCACTACAACACTATACCTTCACTACCACACTATACCTTCACTACCACACTATGCCTTCACTACCACACTATACCTTCACTACCACACTATGCCTTCACTACCACACTATACCTTCACTATCACACTATACCTTCACTACCACACTATACCTTTACTACCACTATAGCTACGCTACCACACTGTGCCCTCACTACCACACAGTACTTTCACGACCACACTATACCTTAACTACCACACTATACCTCCACTTCAACTATATCTACAGTACCACACTTACTTCACTATATTCACTAACACTGCCTTCAGTATATTTTCACCATCACACATGTACACTATACTCTTAGGCTATACAGTATACACACACTATACATTACACCTCATACTACATTATATACCTACACAACACAATACACTACACACAGGACCTCTTACAACATTTTCTTGGACACAGTCTTTAAGAAACTGCCTCCTGGTGGCTACACGTTATGTAGTATTAAAGAAAATGGGTAAAACGAGGAATCTGAGTTCAGCTGTCCCCAACTTCGATATGAAGATCGAGCGGAAAAAGCGGGAAGACAAGCCTCAGCCCAAGCCTCAGCCCAAGTACAAGCCCGAAGACCAACCCAAGCCCCAAACCACTCCTAAAGAGCAGAAAAAGTCGCACAAGGCCCAGCCCAGGGTAGATAAAAGTGCCAAGGGGAAAAATAATGGCAAGGGGTGTTCCAGCTCCAAGGGTGAAAAACGGTCCAAAGACAAAGAGACAAAGAAAAACCACAAGACCCAAAACAAAAACAAGGGCCAGAAAAAACACTGAAGAACCGGACCGGCGGTGGGAAGTGAGTCCCCACAACTCAACTGAGTGAAGAAAAAAAATAATAATAAATAATAAATATAGAAGTTGATTTAGTTTATAATTTAACCTTACCTAACCTACCCCGTGTCTTAAGCTGTGTTGTGGGGTATCTCACCCAAGGTCATGTTTCCGTATGTGTATCATACGTGTGGCAGCGGTGATGGTGCCAACCATACATGTAGTTTGTGACTCCGCTGAGTCAATTTGCGATTCGTCCTGGTGACAGGGAGAACACGTGCGGTAAATGCCTCTGGTAGTCGTGCATACCCAACCATAATGTCCACGTGACACTTTGTTCCCCTTCTTAGCCATTACAGTACTCTTTATTTTTTACATATTAGTGAAATATATATATATATATATATATATATATATATATATATATATATATATATATATATATATATATATATATATATATATATATATATATATATATATATATATATATATATATATATATCTTGATAAAATCACACGGGAGAAGGGAAACAACGGAGCACCTTAGCTTTCGTCTTTATTCATAAGAACATAAGAAAAAGAAAATAAGGAGTCTGCAATAGGCCGGTTGGCCTGTGCATGGCAGCTCCTGTCGAGAGTTACTACCACTCTCTATCATCCATGAATCTATCTAGCCTCCTTTTGAAACTTTCCAGAGTTCCAGCACTTACTACAAAGTTGCTAAGCTTGTTCCACTCGTCCACCACCCTATTTGTGAACCAGTTTTCTTCCTATCTCCCTCCTAAACCTAAACTTATCCAACTTGAATCCGTTGCTCCGAGTCCTATCCTGCTCGGATATTATAAGAACTTTATCTATATCCCCTTTATTGATTCCTTTCACCCACTTAAATACTTCTATCATATCTCCCCGCACTCTTCGTCTTTCTAGGGAATGCAAGTTAAGTTTCTTTAACCTATCCTGATATGGAAGGTTTCTAAGTCCCTGAATCTTTTTGTCATTCTTCGCTGCACCGACTCTAGTGAATTTATATCCATTCTATAATAGGGGCACCAGAACTGAACCGCATAATCGAGGTGCGGCCTAACTAGCGCAAGATATAGTTGCAATAAGACCTCTGCACTCTTGTTACTTACACTTCTAGATATAAAACCCAATACTCTGTTTGCCTTATTTCGAACATTAACGCACTGTTTTCTAGGCCGTAGGTCTGGGCTTACAAGTACCCCTAGGTCTCTTTCACAAGACTTCTCTAGGTTGATGTTGTTAAGGCTGTATACATTATAAGTATTTGTTCTTCCAATATTAAGTACGCTGCACTTGCTGGTGTTGAATTTCATTTGCCATTTTTCAGACCACCCCTGCAGTTTATTTAGATCCTCCTGTAATGCATTTGCATCCTGCCCTGAATTAATTTGCCGCCCTATTTTGGTGTCATCCGCAAACTTGCTTATGTCACTGCTGATCCCAGTATCTAGATCGTTTATGTAGATTATGAACAAGAGTGGGCCTAGTACTGACCCCTGGGGAACCCCACTGGTTACACGGCCCCACTCAGATTTAACACCATCTACGCTGACCCTCTGCGTTCTATCGGTGAGCCATGATTTTATCCAATTTAAAACTTTCCCCTCGATACCATGAGCCTTAATTTTTCTCAGAAGCCTCTGATGCGGTACTCTGTCAAATGCTTTGCTAAAGTCTAAGTAAATAACATCGTAATTTTCGTCATTATCTACTACCTCGAAGACTTTCCTAAAAAACGTTAGCAGATTTGTTAGACAAGATTTTCCCTTTGTAAACCCATGTTGAGAGTCGTAGATTAATTTGCTTTTCTCTAGATGCGATCGGATGCTATCTGCTATAATTGATTCAAGAAATTTCCCCACTACTGACGTCAAACTGATCGGCCGGTAATTTGACGCTGATGCTCTGTCTCCCTTTTTAAATATGGGTACTACATTCGCCTGTTTCCACAACTCTGGCACAACTCCAGTGTCTAATGATTTTGTAAATAAGTTTACGAGGGGTCCGCTAATCTGTTCCCTACACTCTTTTAAGACTCGAGGAAAAATTTCATCCGGCCCTGGGGATTTTGTGTTCTTTAGTTTATTTATCTTCTTAAGAACATCCTCTTTTCTGATAGTGATATTCTTTAATTTCTCTTCTTCCTTTCCCTTAAATATCAGTTCCACCTCCGGAATTTCAAAACATCTTCAGAGGCAACTGGATTACATGGACAGAGAGAGGCTTAAATATACAGGGTGACCTTATTGGCTCTCTGTCCGTCATAACTTAATTTAACAAAGACAGCTAAGGTGCACGCCGGGGTTAGACAGAGTTT